GGAGGGGTCGAAGAAGTTCTGTGGTTTGTGACCTAGGTCGTAGGCTCAGGAAGCTGGCCTCGGTCTGAAGCTGTGTTCATGCAGCCAGCTCGAGCTGCGTTCTTTTTCTTGAAGAACTATGGGGTTGGATGCCCCCTCAGCCCGCGCCCTGGTGTTAAATCGTCATGTCAGCATCGATCAGTTGTTGTTGCAGTATGTCTGCCAGCCCTCTCGGGCTCTGCTCCGCCTGCCCCCCTCAAGGGTTTTCAAACCCTCCCCCTGACTGGCTCTGAGTATAGGGTTAAGGTGTAATTAGTTGTTCTTGAACTTTATTTTGCACTACCTGTCGTAGTCTGTTAGCCGCCCTCTCCCCCCTCCGTCCCCCTCTGCCCCTCTGGGCTCAAGTCGGCCCCACCGCACCCTCCCTTTGGGGAGGGGTCGAAGAAGTTCTGTGGTTTGTGACCTAGGTCGTAGGCTCAGGAAGCTGGCCTCGGTCTGAAGCTGTGTTCATGCAGCCAGCTCGAGCTGCGTTCTTTTTCTTGAAGAACTATGGGGTTGGATGCCCCCTCAGCCCGCGCCCTGGTGTTAAATCGTCATGTCAGCATCGATCAGTTGTTGTTGCAGTATGTCTGCCAGCCCTCTCGGGCTCTGCTCCGCCTGCCCCCCTCAAGGGTTTTCAAACCCTCCCCTAGACTGGCTCTGAGTGTAGGGTCAAAGTGTAAACATTAGTTTAACAGGTGTTGGACATTAACCGCCAAACCGACACATGTGCCCAGACGACGGGCGTCGACGACGCGGCGACGGGGCGGCGGCGGCGGCCACATAACCGCCAGACCAACAAGCAGGCCCAGTTGCTTCGAAGACAAGTAACAACCCTGAAGTGCAAACACCGATTGGGGAAAAAACGAAAAGGGAACGGATATGCTTTCCGCGCACACAGTCTAGAGACCAGCGAAAGCAAACACCTCACTTTGGATGCCATGACGTGGGGGACGAAAGGGTCTGTCTGGGTATGGCGGCGGCGGGCGGCGCGGGCAGGAGCACGAATGTGGGGTCCGCTCCGTCGCGGCCCCAGGCGATGACCCACCTCGGGCCGCGCGCGGGGCGAGGGCGTTGGGCGAAGAAGTCGCCAGGAAAGCAACCCTCCCAGCCTCTCCCTCGAAGAGGGGACGATAAGGGCTCTCCACAGGCCATTTGCATAAGGAACCACCTTGGGCGGGGGGTCACAGGGGCATCCAGTGGAGGCCCGCAGACCGAACTGCTTAGCCCGCAGATTGAAAAGGGGCTCCACGGTGCTCGAATTCAAACGGTCCGTAACGATGCGGAAGAAGTTGCCTCCCGGTGCCAGGATATCCCTGTGGTTCGGCCCCGTCCCTGGCCGACCCTGGCCATGGCGCTGCCCTCCGTTGCCGCCGACTGCTTTGATCGGGCCTTGTCCACAACCGCCCCTGTCGCCCTCTCCCGCGGCTCAACCTTGTCTCCAACTGTCATCGGCTCCAGCACGCCACACGTTGAAGAACTTCATGCTCTGAGTGTGCTCCTCTCCCTTCCCCCGCACTCTGTCTCCTCCTTCACCTGTTGTGCCCAATTCGGCCCTAGCATCCCTTGGCTGCCCCCGAACGCAGTGTGGATCCTCGCCGCTGGGACACCCCCAGAAAATGTCACCAGCAATGGTGGTGCCCTGCGTTGCCGCCAACTCCCACGGTTCGGCCTGATTCACTGCACCGGGTCCTGCCGCTGCCCTGCACTGCCACAAACTGCCTCTGTGCGGCCTTGCCCCTCGATGCCCCGGGCCCTCGTGCTGCCCCGGGCCCTCGTGCTGCGTTGCCGCAAACTGCCATCACTCGGTCATGTCCTCGACGATCCCTGGCCGCGGTGCCGCCTTGCGCTGCAGCCAGTTTCCTTTGTTCGGACTGAACCCTGGCCGTCTCCGACCCTAGTGTTGCCCTCCATCGCCGCAATCTTCTCGGGCCTGGCCTGATCACCGGCGGTCACCCGCCCCAGTGCTGCATTCCGTTGCCCCCAATTCCATTGGTTCGGCCCCGTCCCCAGTTGTCCCTGGCCCTCTCCGTTGACGCCAACTGGTTTGATTCGGCAACTTCCCCGACTGACCCTGGCCTTGGTTCTGTCCTCCAGAAGCAACTGAAGCCGCAGAGAGAAAAGTCAGGGAGGCATCCGGCACCGCGCCTCTCTGGGAAGCCGAGCCCTCCTCCTCCAAAGTCAGCGCTCGTGCGCCAGGGAGGTGATGCGCTGGGCGCTGGGCCTAGTTACTCGCCGAAGGACGGGGGGGAAGTCACTCGGAGGCCCGCGCGAGGCTGAAGTATCTGCCACCTTGGAAGCGGCCAGGAGGGTTTGCGCTGGATGGGCACCGAAAAGATCGGTCAAGAAGGGGGGGGGATGCGGGCGAATGCAAATCCGCTCCCAAGGTCAAAACTGACCAGTTTTCCGAGCCGCTGCTGGCCGGAACCAGTGCTGGGCTACCTCAGCCCGCCACCGCTGTTGCAGCAAGACGCATGTGTCGCGCCCGTGCGGCGTCTTCCCCCGGTGGAACAAGAGCAACCAAAGCCCCCCCGCCCGAAACAGCTCCCACCAAGCACTCACTGGTAGCTTCCACCGCCTAGTCTCGGCGCTGCACTGCCCTTGGAGACAACCACCGACTACCTTCCACATGTTCCGCCAGGACGACCAAGACACAGATCTTCCAGAGTTCTGCAAGGAGTCGACGCTGGGCCCTCCTGACGGCGCCCCAACGCCAGCGCAGAACTCAGGCGCGGGGGACACCCCTGGACCCAAGGCGCCGGCAGGAACGCAACGCCTCCAGCTGCCCCCTCATGTCCCGTACCGTCTCACTCCGCCCGTGCGCCTGCGCATTCCTGCGCCATCCCTCTTCTCCACCCCATGCTCTTCTCCACTCCTCTTGTCAAATCGCGGCCCCCCTTCTCCTGCCCATATCCTCGACCTCCGCCCTCGCCCCATGGCTTCCCTCTCATCTCCCTTCTTCTCCACCGCATCCATATTTTCCGCGCTCTTCTTCCCCATCACACATGATAGCATCCCGCCCCTCATGAGTATCCTCCTCCTCTTCCTCCTCCGCCTCCTCTCCACCACCACCACCACCACCACCATCACCATCACCATCATCATCATCATCATCATCATCATCATCATCATCATCATCATCATCATCATCATCAGCACCATCATCATCAGCATCAGCATCATCATCATCCTCATCCTCATCATGATCAGCAGCAGGAGCATCAACATCAGCTACAGCATCATTAGCATCATCATCAACATCAGCATCAACATCAGCATCCTCATCGTCATCATAATCAGTATCATCATCGCCAGCATCATCACCATCACCATCGACACCACCATGACCATCACCATTACCATCAACGGTATCAGCATCAGCATCAGCATCAGCACTCAGCATCATCAGCATCAGCATCAACATCATCATCATCATCATCACCATCATCACCATCACCATCGCAATCACCACCACCACCATCATCATCATCAGCATCATCATCATCATCATCATCAGCATCAGCATCAGCATCAGCATCAACATCAGCATCATCATTATCGTCATCATCGTCATCGTCATCATCGTCATCATCGTCATCATCGTCATCATCATCATCATCATCATCATCATCATCACCATCATCATCATCATCCGCCACAGCCAGGCGCCCTTTTGCGATGGGACCCATGCTCTCTCCGCGACTTTTAGAATCCGCAGCCATGACGAGAGCGTCGTGGGCACCCTGGGGAAGGGGGCACTGACGAGGGCGAAGACGCAGGGAGACCCACAGAACAAGCGGACAGCCCCTGGGCAGGGCAGCGAGGGCGGTGACACAAATGGCGGCGACGCTCGCGGGACCCCCGAGCCACATAAACGAGTCTCGCATTCAAGGCATCGCCGACGCGCGCATGACGGGGCTGGTCCGCGCTCGGGAGAGCAGCCTAACCTGTTTAACCCGGCTCAAAGATGCTCGCCACCGTCTCCCCAACTTGAATGCTGCTGAGCAATTGGCCCCCTGGCAGGACGGCGTCCACGGCTCCGAATCCAAGCCCGCACGCACGACGGTCGGCCATCATCTGTTCGAAAATCCGCTGACCTCATCTCGGCAACCAGGCTATGACCGTCCTCGCTGGACTGGCCTTGCCATTAAACCCTGATGTGTTGTTTTTGTTGTTCTCTCTCTCTCTCTCGGCCATCTACTGTCTCCTGTCTTTTGTCTCTCAAAAACCTGAAGCGTATGTCCCAAACTATCGATACCCGCCCTCTTCGTCTTTGATCGTACCCCCTTAGGGGGCATATTTTCTTACCTGCAACATGTGTTTCGTGAAGCCTCTAAGGCAGAGAAAGAGAGGATGGATGGAGGGAAGGGACAAGGGGGAGGGAGGAGGATGGAGCACGAGTGAGAGAGAGGGTAGCAGGAGGGGGGCTAGGAGCAGAAAACACGTGGCAAAAACAGACAGGCAGATTAGGCGGGTAGACCCTAACGGGCGGGTCGGGAAGGCGGGCCCATGCGGCCAAGTCGAGCAGGCGGGTTGCTGAAGCGTGCGTCCTGCATGAATCGCGAGCCTCGAGCGATAGCGCGCTTCCAAAGTAAATCGCGCGATAAGCCATAGCGAGAGCGTGATTCCCGAGTGTCGAGGGCGCGGCGTCTGAATAAATTGCTAGGAAGTCCCACGCGAGAGCGCGATTCCTACATATCGTGTGAGCAGGAAAGGCGCCTCAAATGAAAAAACTACAATGTGCCACGAAGGGGGGGCAACCAGTACGTATTCTTCAATAGTGAGAACTCCACAACGACAGCTGCAGCAACAACCACTATCACAACAACAGCACCAGCAACAACAGCAGCGGCAACACCAACGTCAACAACAACAACAACAACACTCCTGTGAGAGTGTTCACTCTTACCTGCTCCCATGCCGCTCAACACGTATACCCTCGATACCCGCCCTCTTGGTTTTCGACTGTATCCCAATCAGGGGTCGATCTTTCTCACCTGCAACGTGTACTTCGTGCAACCCCTACGGCAGGGGAAGCGACTGCGGATGGAACTAAGGAACAAAGCGGGGAGGGAGGAGGGCGGAGCACGAGAGAGAGTACCAAGAGGGGGGCTAGGAGCAGAACACACGTGGCAGAAACAGGCGGGCAAATCGCGCGGGTAGACCCTGACGGGCGGGTCGGGAAGGCGGGCCCAGGCGGCCGGGTCGAACAAGCGGATTGCTGAAGCGTGCGTCATGCGTGAATCGCCAGGAAGCCTCTAGCGATGGCGCGATTCCAAAAACAAAAAAGGAGGACGTCCACAGTGAGAGGGTGATTCCTGAGTGTCGGGGGAGCGGCGTCTGAAACAACTGCTAAAAAGTCCCACGCGAGAGCACGATCCCTGCATACATTGCGGGGGTGGGTCCTACGTGAGAGCGCGATGTGGGAATAAACGTTGAAGGAATATCAAGCGGGAGCCGCTGTTGTTGAAACCAAGGGTCAACAACCCAGCTTGGTGGCCCCACGATGTCCCTTTTTTTATTGAAAAACAGAATGCGAAACCCGCAAAGAGCTCTTCACTTGAAAAAGGAACTGGTTACCCAAGGGGGGGCAACCATACGCATTCGTTGCAAATGAAGATCAAACAGCAACGACAACCACAACAATATCGACAACAAGAACACAATCAACAACACTTACAATAACCACGCCAACATCAACATCAACAATACCAACAACAACGACAACAACAACAACAACATCGACAACACCGACAACAACAGCAACAGGCATGTTAAGGCTGGTTGCTCTTATCTGCCCGCGTGTCATTCAACATGTATTTCCAAACCCTCGATGCCCGCCCTCTTCGTTCTCGATCATACCTTTCTTGAGGGTACCTACGTTTTCCCTACAGGCCGGGCCCCGGCAAGCGGCGGGGCGGCCGCGGACCGTCGGCCTGGCCAGCGGCAACACTGATCGGCAGCAACCCGACCCCAAGAGGGACGGACAGGGGACCGACCACGACGACGACGACGGCGACGACGACGGCGACGACGACGAGCGAAAGAGAGAGCGAGAGCGAGAGCGACAGCGGGACCACGAAGGGCAGGAACAAACCCACGAAGGGCAGCGAGGGGGCCACGAAGGGCGACCACGGGGCCACGACACGCATACATAGACGGGGCCACGGAGGGCAGCGAGTGGGCCACGAAGGGCTGCAACGGGGCCACGGAGGGCAGCAAGGGGGCCACAAAAGGCGACAGCGGGGCCACGAAGGGCATGCATATGGCGCCACGGCGCCGCGAACGAGCGAGGGCCACGAAGGGCACATGTAGATTGGGCTGCAGAGGGCAAGGGCGGGGCCACTGAGGGCAGCAACGGGGCCACGAAGGGCAGCGAGGGCCAAAACAACGGGGCCACGAAACACACGCATATGCGGCCACGGCGGACGCGAACGAGCGGGGGGCACGAAGGGCATACATATACGGGGCCACGAAAAACTGCAACGTGTCCACGAAGGGCTGCAACGGGGCCACGAAGGGCTGCAACGGGGCCGCGAACTGCAACGAGGGGGCACGAAGGCCCGCAACGGGACCACCAACGGCAGCGCGGGGGCCACGAAAGGCTGCAACGGGTCCACGATGGGCAGGAAGGAGGCCACAAAAGGCGACAGCGGGGCCACGAAGGGCAGCGAGGGGGCCACGAAGGGCAGCGACGGGGCCACGACGCGCAGCGAATTGGCCACGAAGGGCCGCGAGGGGTCCACAAAAGGGCAACGAGGGGGCCACGAAGGGCGACAACGGGGCTACGAAAGGCAGCGATGGGGGCCATGAAAAACTGCAACGTGTCCACGAAATGCAGCGAGGGGACCACAAATGGCTGCAACGTGGCCGCGAACGGCAGCGAGATCCCGATTCCTAAGCAAGCTTTAAACGAGTCCTAAGCGTAAGCGCGACTCCTGGGCGCCTGGGTGTCGGGAGCGCGGCGCTTGAATACATTGCGGGAAACTCCCATGCAATAGTGCAAATTCTGATGAATCGCAAGCACATCTCCAACGAGACCGCGGCTCCAGAGCGCGGAGAGCGATTCCTGCATACATTGCAAGGACGCCCCAAGCGGGAGCGCGACTCCTGCGTAAAATGCGAAGAACGCTCAAGCGGGAACGGGAAACCTTGCGAAATTATGAAAAAGTCCCAAGCGGAAGCCGCGTTTGTTGTTGTAGTTCGGCGGCCATGGGCGCAATCGGAACTTACTTAGTGACTGCCAGTGATAAAGAGCAGGGTGCGAGCCCCGGGGGGGAACCTTTCAACTGGAATAACACCATGGTCGCCGGAGGGGGGATCTTCGCGTTTACATTGCGTAAGCGAAAGTTCAACAGCAACAACAGCAGTCATGGTGGAATTGTTCGCTCTCACCTGCTCACGCGTCATGCAACACGTATATCCCAAACCCTCGAAATCCGCCCTCGTCGTCTTCGGCCATCCCCCCGAAAAAGGTACATATACTTCCTGCTTGCAAGGCGTATTCCGCGCAGCCCCAGAGGCAGGGGAAGCGAGAATGGATGGAAGGAAAGGGCTAGAAGGTGGGGGGAAGGTGGGCCACGAGAAAAGGATAGCGTAGCAAGAGGGGGGCTGGGAACAGCAAGCACGTCGCATCCTGCAGGAATCGCGAGAACGTCTAGAGCGATGGCCGGATTCCCAAACAAAGCGCGCGGAAATCCACGTCGAGCACGTGACTCCTGAGCGTCGAAGTAAATCGAAAGAACGCATGAGCGCGATTCTGGCATAACGCATGATAATGTCCAGCACGAGTGCGCGGTTTGACAATGCACTGTCAGGAAAATTCGCGCAGTATCCGTTGTTGTCGCAGTTCGGGGGCCAAGGGGGCAGCCCCCTGAGACGCGAGATAAAAAAACAAGTGCGAGGGCAAGAGGAAACGCGTCAGTAAACAATGATCACTGGAAGTGGCGGGACCAACCATACTTATTTCTCAATAGTAAGAATTCACAAGCATGGAAACAGCGTGATATTGTTCGGTATTATCTGCTCGCGTGTCACGCAGCGCGCATATCCCGAACCCTCGACGCCCGCCCTCTTCGTCTTCGGTCGCACCCCCCTGGGGCATATCTTCCCACCTGCCGCGCGCAGTTGGCGCCGCCCCTAAAACCGGGGCAAGGAAGGAGGGACGGGGGCGACGAAGGGGGGGCGAGAAGGATGGAGCACGAGAGCGAATCGCTTGCAAGGCAGCGACCCATGGACAGCCTGGGAAACCAAGAAAACATTAAATTGCTTACAAAAAATGCGCGCTGCGAAACGCGCGAAAAAAGTGTCTCCGCTACGCGCTCACGCAGAAGCCGCTCGCTGGATCAGAGCAGCGGCGCGCGGCGCGCGCGAAGAGCAACTGCGCGCGCTCGCCCAGAGACGACCCACCCCGGACAACTCGAACGCCTCGCTTGCGAGTCGACGACGCAACCCCGCCAAATCTGCACGCATCCGACGACGCGTCTGCGACGGCAGCGGCGGCGGCGACGCGGCGGAAGGCGGACAAAGGGGGCAGAAACAGCAGCGCAGCCACCGACAGGAACGACGGCGCCGGGGGACCGGCGACGGGGCAGACGAAACCCGCGCGCGAAGAGAAGGAGAGGGGGCAAGCGCGCGACGTCGCCTGGAGAATAACACTGGGCGAAGAGGGGGCGGGCAGGGGGGCGACTGGAACTCGGGCGGGGGCGGCGGCTAGAACGACGGCCTCGACTGGGCCACTGAGAACGCGCCCTCGGGGCGAGGGGGGCAGGGCGACGAGGCGGGGGGGGGCCCATGGGGCCGGGCCCGGGCCGCCCGACATTCCTGCGGCCCAAACTCTCAGATGGCCACGCGCAGTGCCATCATCGCGCGAATGCCGACGGCAAAGCGCCCCGCGCGCCCCCGCGCGCCGATGACGTCGAGAGCGCGGCGCCGCTCGTGCCCGGCCCGGCCCGCGCCGACTGCGCCAGCGCCTCGGGCGGCAAATTCGAGGGCCACCAAAATTGTTGCCAGATGGCCACCGCGACCCGGGGCGGCGAAAGAAGCCGCCCAGGCTCCGCGCCAGACGCCGGCGCAATCGCCGCGGGGTCTCG